TTTTTTGCGTGGTGTCTATCGTTGCCTACAGTTAGGTCTTCGCCGTTTCAGACCGTTTGAAATGACCAAAAACTTATAGCATAACCTTGGAGCCTTTACCTCAGATCCCAGGTCGTCAAAGATTTGTCACAAAACGTGTTGGTCATGGGACCGGGATTCAAAAACACTTTTTTACATTTTATTTTTGTTGTTATTATTATTGTTATTATCGGTTAATTCAATGATCGATAAACAGACAAATATGTACAAATTTTGACCATTTGAGAAATAGTGATCTGGATAGAAAAAATTTTATTTTTAATTTCCTTTCGCAGAAAACAAATAAAATCCCTTTGCAAAGGATCTTTTTTAACAATTAAAATTTGCAAGTAACTTTTGATGTTTGCATGTAACTTATTCTTTTATGGCGATAAACTTGAAAAAACCCCAATTGATCCAATTGACCTTTAATTTGGGATAAATAAAGATGAAGAAAGATCAGGACAAAGGTTCTTTTTTAACAATCGAAATTCGTAAATAACTTGAGGGTTCTTCTTTGCAAAGGATCTTTTTTTATTTTTGAACAATTTCCCTTTGTATATGTAATTTTTTTAAATAAGTAAGTAAATTTTTTGCTCAACACAACGAATAAAATAAAAATAAAAATAATATGACCGGCTAATGTTGATGCTCAGAACGAATATATAGATACCTTGCATTTGGAATTACGTGTCCCGAACCTCGAATTTGAATGCAGCGCAAAAAGCAAAATTGATGCACCGTTTTTTGGGGTGGCATATCTATTTACATGTTTTTGTTGTAATTTATTAAACTATTTGGTCAATGCACCATCTGGCATGAAGTAATTTATTTTTATTAAAATATTGCATACATGATAGAATATACATACAATGACATAATAATTTATAGATCCCTATTTCGTCATTATTATTATTGCTGCGTATCAAGCATTTTACTTACATCAATCGTTTTCAATTACGTCAATGATTTTACTTGCGTCAAATTGTCAAAATGGCACTGGTGAGAAAATACCTTTAGTCAATACTTTAGTTACATCAATGAATAAAGTCAAAGACTTCGTCATGCATCATTAATTACCTGATGGATAATGGAAACTGCAGTGATATGTTCTGTGGGGAAATTATAAATTTTTTCATATAATTAGTAGACGTGTGTACGGTTATTAAGAATTTGATCAGAAATGATAGATTTTTTATGAATCGAAAAAAATTTTGGTTCAATAATAAATCAAAAATCAAAATATATATTTTGGTTTAAGAATTAAATCTCCAGCCCCTTTTAAATGGTTTCCTCCAAAAATATGAGATAAGTACTTATCACATAATGATTATACAAATAATTCACGTGACCTATAGACACTTGTTGCTGCGCTACTAAATCAAAATTTTCAAAATCTTGTATTTTTGCAAAACTGTTAATTAAAACTTTCCAATCCCCTAACTGTTACATCTAAAGTAATTACCTTTTAAAATTATACGTAATTGTGCTTGTTAATACACGTACTAACTTTCAAAAAGACTTTCTTATAGAGTATTTTTTACCTTTATATGTAGGGAGGGAGGGACCACTGGACTCTTGCCTAAAGATCACTATATAAATTTTGACATAAAAATAGCCCCGGAATCTTTTTTCAAAAATAAAAACTTTTGAAATTTCATGGATGATTGAAAAGTTGAGCATTGAGCAGTGTGTATCATGTAACTTCTTATCAAGTTTTGAGTCGCGAAAATTACGCCACAAAAAAGATGTTAATGATCGGCAAAATTTTGCAGTTGTGTCACGAATTACGAATTAAGGATATTTCCAAAATTGCACTTCACATTTTGTATATACATTTTGTGTAAATTAAAAAATTTATTAATGTAATGATAATTTGAAACATTTATGAAATTACAAAATGTTTCCAAATTTAGATATGATTTTTGTATTTATTCTAAATTTAGTTGAGATTTTCGCGGTCAAAAATTCGTGAACGTAGTACTAAAAATGAATATATAGAATTCTAGAACAAATAAATTTACACAAAATATAGTAGTTCTTGAGTTCTACAATAATGTATACTTTAAAATTTGCACAAAAATTAGGAGGTCTATAGACCACGCGAATTACAGAAAATTTTTTTCATTTGTCTTTCTTTAATGACTACCGGATAACAAAAATAGAGACTATGTTTTATATATACAAAATTTTATTTTATTTGAAAAAAACGTTTCACATATATTATGAGGAATATCCTATAGATTGTTTTGGCTAAGCCATCAAAACAACATCGAAGATCCTTACTCGAATAAAATTTTGAGTAGCATAAATTTTAATTAAAAATGATTATTCAAAAGAATTTAATAAATAATAATAAATAAAATGTCTACTACCGGACAAAGGGCACATCGCCGTACCACAAGTGTAAGTACAGGTAGTAGTATTAATAGTTTACCAGAGAATAACCAACGTGTTTTTGATAACAACAACAACACAAGACAATACAATCTCCAACAAAACTTACTAGTTGATACTCAAAACATTATCGATCCTTACCTTCCTACCATTAACGAAAAAACCCCCACCATCACAACACCACCACCATTAACACCTTCAAAACATAAAACATACAATCCCTTTTCAGTCAGAAAGCCACGAAAACCTTTTGATAATTCATCTTCAACATCTCGAATAGATCCCCGGAAAATTATTTCCTTTATAATTTTTTTATGGGCACTTTTGTTATTTTTATCTAGTCTATGTGGAATAGGTCCTGTCGATGAAGACATAGAAAAGGTCCTTATTATTGATCATGATGATTTTTGGGAAGAAGCTCCAGGAGAGGAGGTGTTTGTTAATTTAGTCGAAGAAAACCAAGAGGACAATGTCGATTATCAACCTTTAAACATTGACAATGATAATTTAAACAACAATACCAATAATGATTTTTATAATGATAAAGATGAAGCTGTTAGACTTCCTGTTGAAAGTGATAACAATTTTATAAATATCGAAGAAACAATAATTAATAATGAAAGTATTATTCCCACACCTACTGATGTTATTGATAATGTGATAGAAGAAAACAATCCCGAGTTTATTGATGAGCAAACAATAGAATCAGTACCAAAAAATATGACAAACAAACTTGGAAAAAAGAATAAAACCACACATGTAGTTAATTCAAATTTGGATGATCCAGATGAAGATGACAATGTAATTGATTATACTAACTATCGATATATTGTCGCAAAACCTCATTTCACACATACTGACATTATCGAGTCACTCTCAAGTGAACAAAATGAAGAGTATGTCAATTTACAAACATTACAAAAAAATACTGATGACAGCCTAAATAATTCTTGTGGATCATGGCAAGAAAAATATACAAAATTACACAAAGAAATTTTAAATGAAAATGCTTCTCAAAGATATGTAACGTATATATGTGATTCTAAAATAAATTGTGGTGGATTGGCAGACCGGTAAGCAAACATAATTTTTTAAAGTGACAAATATGAAAATTTTGTTTATCAAAATATTTAATAATTTTGTAAAATAAATTTTTAAAAATATATAGTATTCTTGGTATGGCATCCACATTTTTGTTTGCATTACTTACAGATAGAGCATTTCTTGCAGACTGGCAAGTTCCTCTTCCACTTGATGCAATTTTTACAGCACCAAATATTGATTGGAGTTATGATTCTCTCAACCCAAGTCACACTATTAGAAATCTTAATACAACTGAATTATATATTGTTGATTATGATCCACAAGATATTGATTATCATTTTTCACTTACCAACTGGACAACAAGATACCCTGATTCATTTATAAAATTCTATACAAACCAAGGTTTGATACAACAAACTTTTGACTCGAAATATTACTCTTCTAAATTAAAGGAAATCGGTTTAAAACCACATACTGCATTTGGATGTCTAATGGATTATTTATTTAGACCAGTTCCACCAGCATTGTCTTTTATTGTACAATATACAGCTTTATTTGCACTTCCAAGTATTTTTTCTGTTGGTATTCATATACGAACTGGAAATACTCATGGACAAACACATTCATTACAAGATTACAGTCACTTTTTTAGATGTGCTGATCAGCTTGCACAAACTTATGCACCAGATAAAAAGGCAATCTATTATCTTGTTACAGATTCTGTTAAAATAAGAGACGAAGCATATTCAAAGCTTGATCAGGTTATAATTTCTGGGTTACCAATTCAGCCCACTGATGATTATTATGATTATGCAGATAGTGTAAATAATGCAATTGTTGAAAATTGGATTTTAAGTAAAACAGATTATCGGGTATGTACTAAATAATCCTTTTTTTTTTTTCAATCTAAATAAAAAAAAAAAACTTACAATGAAATATATATGTATATATAATATAGGTAATATCACAAAATGTTTTTGGCAAGTTGGCTGCTTTTCATTCTAAACAACTTCATTCCACGGTGTCATTATCTACTACTGAAAGCAAATTTCTAGATTGTACACGTGAGGTAAAAATAGTTTTAAAAATTTTTTTTCCCTTTTTTTAAAGAAAAAAAAATCAATTATTAATTTTTTAATATAATAATCTAAATAGGATGCATTCACCACCTTCAATCAATTGGCTAATGAATGGTCAGTTGGTTTGTAAGATTTATATATGTTGATTTAGTAGATACAACTAATTTAATTGTTTAATTTAAAGAAAATAGAAATTTTATAGATATACATATCTATATATATGTATAAGTGTATCGTATTAAAAAAAATTATTTAATGTTAAAAGTAAAAAATTTACTTCAATTTTTTTTTAAATAAAAAAAATTTGATATTATTTATTATAAATATTATTTGAAATCTTCATACTTAAAATCATATATACTATTAATCTCACTGAAATTCTAATATGAGAAATTCTTTTGGTTCATGTTAAGCCTCGAACGAGCTGAGCCAGCTCGAGTTGTGTATTAGCTCGACCCGGATCAGCTCGAGCTCGAATTTGATTTATACATTATACTAAGTTGACTCAAACTCGGCTCATTCAGAGCTTTAAATTAACTCTTTTTCGATAAAGTGGCTAGTCACATGGGGGTTTTCATTATAAACAAACGCGCGTAAAACTCTGAAAATTATGTTGAAAATTTTTTGAAATTTTGAAAGAAAATATCCCAAATTTTCATTATGCAAAGTGGGTATAATAATCTCTAAGCCAAAAATATTCTACCTAAAGGATTACATATAAGGGCGGTATTAAATTTGTTTTCCACGCGTTTCTATTGAAAAGCCCTACCCACATAAGAAGATTGCATTTAAAACCTGGTAGAAAAAGTGCACAAAAGATTTCACAGCAACCATTTTTACAATGATTTACAACGGTTTTCAAATATCAATGAAATATTACGAAAGTTATTGTAAAAACGCTTGTTATGCTCAATGCTTTTCACAATGTGAAATTTTTGTGAATTAAATTTTTTTTGTCGGTGGCAGTATAACGCTAGTTAAACTTTCTGGGTAGAAAATTAAACTATATTGATATTGATATTATATAAAGAAAAAAGCCAGCTATTTTGTTATTTCAAGTTCAAAACTTGACCACAGTATGATGTCTTTTTTAATTATATGTGAATTGTTTTGACATTGATCTAAAATCTATTGATTCTACTAAAACAAAACGTCTAATTTTATCGTTTATTATTATCTTTAAGATTAAATTTGTGGAGTCCTGGATTTTTCTTTTAGATCACGTGGATCCGTTATACGCAAAGCATTAATATTAATAATATGAATGGTTTTCGATATATATGTACGTTATACAAAATTTAATCAATAATATCCGTTATATACAGAGATATTCAAATAGTAATAGTAAAAAATTATGTATAGAAAGAATTCGTTATCATTATAGAGAGTGGACTGTATGTTTCAAAAAAAAAGGAATGAGGAAAATCATGAAATAAAATAATTGATGCATTCGTTTATTGTTATTATTCGAATTGTATCATTTGCTCATTATTCGAATTGTTATCATTCGTTTATTATTATTATTATCATTTGTTTATCATTCGAATTGACATCATTCGTTTATTATTCAAATTGTTATCATCATTAGTTTAATATTCAAATTGATATCATTTGTTTATTATTCGAGTTGTTATCATCATTTGTTTATTATTCGAATTGTTATCATCATTTGTTTATTATTCGAATTGTTATCATCATCATTCGTTTATCATTTGAATTGACATCATTCGTTATCATTCAAATTGACATCATTCGTTTATTCAAATTATTCAAATTATTATTATTCGTTTATTTGTTTTATTTAAATTATCAATTGAATTATTTATTTTATTTGTTTATTTATTTATTTGAATTATTCGTTCATTCAGTTTATTTGAATTATCGAATTATTGAATTATTAATTATACATTTTATTCAAATAACTTTCAATGTAATTTGAATACTCATTCATAGTGAGTAAAACAAATAATTCAAATAAACCCTTATTTGAATAGAAACTCTAATCAAGCAGTATATGTATTTAATTTGGCATATTCGGTGACTCCAACTCAGATCACATGCTTGCAATATTTATTACAGTTTTACGACTTTAAGGTGTCAATGCCGAATTGTTGTAGTTCAGGTAAAATTTTAATTTTTTTTTAGATATATTTAATTAATATTTTTTGTGATACATATTTGTGGCTGAAAAAAAAAAAATTTTTTTTTACAAATATACAAAAACCACAATGGAAAACATTTTGGATGAAAATGTTACTTCTACTGACAAAAATGATGAATATTCTGATAGAAGGTATGAAAAATATGGGAAATGTCCAACCTGCAATAGATATAATACTTATTATTCATGGTGTGAATCATGTAATCCAAAGCTATTAACTGAAGGATGGACTAGTGGCAATGAAACATTAGATGAGTTGATTAAAAGTACACAACTTAAA